ATGACAGGTTTGCTCCGTGGCTAATTTGATTTAGGAATAATCAATCATTCATCAGAAAGTTGAAGTGGAAGGGATTAGTTAATAAGGTTTGAAAGAGATGCGAGTTCTTATAATTCTGCGAAAACTTGCAATGGAGTTAGAGTCTTTTTTGGAGAATTAATGTATAAAATGTCATTTTTATTTATTAAGCCAAGCTACAAGCTAAGCCAAGGATTTCACTAAATAAAAAATAAGGCTTCTTCCTTTAACTTTGACAAACGTCAAAAATCTGTCAAACACCATACAAAAAGCACCGGTTATTGTTATAGTTACCGTCAAAGTTAGGTGGTGCAATTCAGCCTGTTTAAATAAATCCCAACTAATATTATAAATGCGAAAGTAACTCTGTCTGTCTGTCTGTCTGTCTGTCTGTCTGTTACGCTTTCCCGCTTAAACCTCGCAACCGATTTTGATGAAATTTGGCATAGAGATAGTTTGAGTCCCGGGAAAGAACATAGGATAGTTTATATCCCGGTCTTTGAAACAGGGACGCGCGCGATAAAGTTTTTCTGTGACAGACAAAATTCCACGCGGGCGAAGCCGCGGGCGGAATGCTAGTAATTATAATAAGTTGAAAATAAGTTTTTGTAGTTTCAATGGCTGTCGACCTTTTAGCAATTAAATGTATAAAGAAAAGAAAGTGTTTATTGATATTAACTAAAATTTTAAGCATATTAAATATTAAAATAATCGTCTCTACCAAATGAAATTTCATTCAGTTTGTTCTATGTTGATTATAATATTCCATTTCCATCCTAATCTAAAAGAAAATGTGTCAGAACTCATTTATTAACATTTGCAATAAAAATATTGCGTCCACCCCGGAGGCGACAACAGTGCGTCGCGAGGCGACTTCCGCCGGAAGTAGCGTAACGAGACCGTTGTTCCGCCCCCATTTCACGTACCCCAAGCGAAGGCGAAGGTATGCTTCACTTGGTTCTGTGATTGACTGCCACAGATGCTGTGATTCTGGTTCTATAGTTTGAATGTAGAGCTATCCACACCATATTCTTTTTTACATAACATACTTACGAGTATTCTGTCATTCAGTCGAAAATCTGGGTCTAATGTTACTAAATATTTTAGTTTGGCTTAGATGTGTAACGTAAAGTTGTGTGACTGCATGAAAACATATTTTATGAAGTACGCGTTTCCGTTCAAGTATCGTCTTTTCAATTAGAGCTCGCAATAAAACAAAAATAATTGTTATTATTGACTTGTACTTTATTTTTATAATTATTCTTCACGCAGAGCTGAAAACATGTTAATTATTTCATAGCGTACGACTTACTAAAAAACATATGACCAAATATCGTAAAATCTAACTACAAAAAGGAACGAATCGAAATTGGATATGACTTCCCCAAAATGACGTTCGGTTACCATTCATTTGCCTTGGTCGTGATGAATGCGCTTCATTTTAATCATCTGTCCCGGGGCTGTTAAGGTGAGTATAGATTATAGCATTTACTTGTAACAGAATTGCTCTAGGTCGTTGCGTATTCAAAGTGTCATCGAAAAATTTTGTATGAAAAATTAAACAGCGCCCCCTAGGGCGGCTATAATATAGGGGGCGCTGTTTAATTTTTCATACAAAATTTTTCGATGACACTTTGAATACGCAACGAAACGAACTCGAAAGTTTTTCCTACTAGAGGTAGTGTCGAACGTCGTGCACGCTCGCCGTTTGTTACAACCTAACAGTAAAAACTGACGAGCATACGGATGTAATATTTCGTCGAGCCTTTGCATGAGCACGATTGAACGAAAGGTATAATTGTTACGAGTAAAAGCACATTCGGTGTGAGCAGCCGAACTGAGTGAGCATTCGCAGGAACGTTACATTACATGAAAATACTTGGGAAACTGAGCTTTTCTCTGTATTTGTACCCTTCGTAAGAACTTTACGTTCCATGGAAATCTAACTCTAGCTAGTCTATACTCACCTTTAATCATTTGTCCCGGGGCTGCTATACTGCCGTTTCTATGAAGTTATTACTGCCGTATTTTTTAATAAGGACGCTTATTTACAAGCTTAATTTAAACGGAGAGTTTTGCTTTTGGTTTGCTTTCAGATTTTCAACTTCAATCGGGGTAGATATTTCATTTTACCTTTTAATATAATAATTTAACTCTACCTCATGTGTTAACTACCTAACACTACCTAAGTGATATAAAATGGTATAAGTAGTGATCAATTAAATATCTACTCAGTATTTGTAGAGAGCCTGTAGTGACCGTAAATTATATTTTGGATTTTTACTTAAATAAATACATACAGGGAGTACTTATTCTGAGATTATTTTGTCTTTTCTTGTATTTGTATCTGCACAATAACAATTTTTGAACTGGTAGATACCTACNTACGTACTACGTATAGAAAATTGTTAATTTCAATGATGTTCATTCAGATCTCAAGCTTAGTACTGCCACATATTATATGTACCACAAACCACACCATCATTATAATATCTACCTGCTTTCAATACAGTTGCTAAGCTCTGCTCTATAGTAGGTAGGTAGAACAGACTCGGTTGCAAAGCCTCTTTGCCGGGTAAGCTGGTCTAATTGGCGCTTCGAAGAGCCGCTGTCTGATTGGCTCGTTAACGAGCTACCTGTGCTCTTCAAGGGGATCAGCGATTTTAAGAAGATAATATTCTAAAATAGGAATGTTAACAATAAAGTTTTGATTGCACCATAAGCAGATTGTTTTGTTTTGTGTAAATAATCAAAATACACGGAATTGCAAATACATAGCTCGTACTCATCACAATAACTGTCCTCATCAGGATTCGAACCCGAACTCAATTGTGTGGTGGCATCCGGCACACAAATTACCTTTACCAATAACTTACTCTACACTGGCAACAGCAGTGATTTTTCGTTCATAAGACTTTTTGTAGAGTACTGGATTGTTGACTACGGAGAGTTATTTTCGGTAAGTAGGCGTCAGAAATAATTGCTGCAACCGTTATCTGATTTCCTGTCAGCAAACAGAAATCTATGCATTTTTAATTCACTCTCTACAGGAAAAACTGAAGACTATTAAGTATACTCGTATTAGCATGCAAAGCGTATATCTCTTGACTCTTGTGCTAAATAACAAGTCAAGAGTAGTATGATTAAAATTGAAATTATTTATTGCCTTTTTATATCGTAAAATTATATTGCTTATCAACTTCAATCTATGTTTCCGGTGCCAGATTTGAGTTAAAACACTGAACAATAATACCAACACCTAAACAACCTGGGTGTCTAATGGATTTTCGTCATTAACATGCTGGCTATCTGGGTTCTGTGACGTCACGCGAGGACAAATTGACATAATGGCACCCTGTGACATCGCTGCAGTAAACCGTCGTAAGTCATGGTAATTGTGCTGCATAAATCAATAGTTTCCCTAACATAAATGTTCCAGTGTTCAGATTAACAAAATATTAATGAAAATGACAATCTCTATGGGCTTTGGTTGGAAATTGGACTTTTTCCGCCCCTTAGACCCTAGGTTCGATTTCTAGACACACAAAACACACAAATAAAATCATTTTGAAAAGAGAGCCGTTCCAAAATTGGCGAGAAGATATCATTTAAAATTTCTTCATTTTTTGAAGTCGGTTAAAAATAAATATTTGAATTTGAATGAAAGATGGAGTTATACGATTTTGTCAAATTTTTGATATCATATCCAAGATCTACCAATTTTAGTAACAACTACCACAGTTCTGCCAACTTTATTAATAATGTAAAAAGTTAAAACTGTAGCCTGAAAATGAAAATGACGCAGTAGGCAGCCGAAACTAATTTCATTACAAACGACACCATAACCCTTTTTTGTTTCCTGCTGTGATGTAACGATAAACGAATTAGGTGCCGAAATTAATTTTGTTTTTCTTTTGGTTTTCAAAATGACATTTATACATTTTTCAAATCAAATTTTTGCAAGCAATGTTCTGTTTACAAATGGGATGTTTTCTGTTCACTGTAATTTATTACATTAACTGAGATATCAATAAAATACTCATAGATACCATTAACCCATAAAATAGCCAAGAAAACAAAGAGTGTTAAAATGATACATAAAAAGTATTGCCACTGCAACAAATATATATTTTATTTTTTAAGAAAAAATATAATTATTTTATCAAAAATGATCGGTAAAAGTTGTATTGTTATTTTAGTTTCTTGATATTAACGTTTTGTACTTAATTCGTTTGTTTTTTAATATTCACGACCAAGTATTAATTTTCTCCTAAAAATAACTCAATAATACAAGTATCTCGATAATTGGTAATAACGTTGGAGCAAACGTTTCATAAAATAAATCTGATTAGCTGCTATTTCCGTCCCCATCCGGGAAAATTTACTTTTATGGGGCAAAGCTCCTTATCGCAGCTTCCACTTGAGCGGGAGCGGCGCGAACTACAAATCACTATTAGCGCAACTTGCCGCTCTCACATATTATGACGAATTCTTTGTTTGTGGGGAAAATAAGTACAAATAAAGGTAAGTAATAAAGGAGAAAATCATAGTACTTGATAAAATTATTAATTATCAAAAGCAGTTGAAATGGGAGAAAATCTTTAATATAAGCGAGGAGTTCATTTAAAGGGTCCAACAATTGTCTCTACCTTGAAAATTTATACTGTGATACCTAAGTATAAGTAGTTTCAAGTAGCTTAGCTTATTTCGGATTTCCACCCGACCTCGAAATGTTACGCATAAACATTCATGATTGTTAATGAGATTAATGGTCACAGTTTAGCTTTCCGAAAGTGATGAGTCCGAAACAAAACGTTAGAAGGCGTGAAGCCCCTAGGGAAAATTTATAAGCGCGCTGATTTCCTGTCTGGAAAATTTCAAATAGGGTGGGGATGGGCGCCGGAGGGGTGTGGGAGGGGGATGTAAACACAAAGCCCGCGCCGGGCCGGCAGTCACGTGGCGCGCTCGCCGGGGGCGCATCACTCTTAAGGGAGGCATCCGAACCGGACAAACAAACAACATCACAGTGACAACTTCCAACAGTGATCCACCACAAGTTAAGTCGCAACAAGTCCAGAGATACCTTAAGAGTGATGCCCTCCGGTGTGTCAGTGAACTCTCTAACTCCATACATGTCAAAACAACATATGAATACAACAATCGTAATGTATTGAATTAGAGTCTTGTATATAATACAACAACCACTCTAAAGAATATCAATACAAAACATATCAAAACAAATTTATCATATCTCTTTTAATTGTGTAACTCTATGTCTACTTATAATCGTACTAGTAAAAATATTTAACTCGTAGACTTTTTAATGTAATAAAACTACTTAATAATTACGAATCTTCAAACTTCATCTTCAAATATCTCCTGAAATGCCATCAGGTAAGTTTTTAATTTTATTTAATGTTTGTTAACTATGTAGTTTTTAATTTTAGATAGGTATAATATACACAGTACAACTGATATTACCTTAGACCTACATCTAATTCAAAATCATAATCATAATCATAATTAATAGGATATTAAGTTTTTGGCCTGGTACATATGGAAATCTTCATTCAAACAATAAACAATATTTTGCCAACTTTAATCTTCTATGTTATAGATTAAGGCTGAGTTACACAACCTTACTTTTACCATAACTTTAACGATAACCGGTGTTTTTTATATGGAGTTTGACAGATTTTTGATGTTTGCCAAAGTTACTACCCAGCCTAAGTATAATAAAACTAGTAATTATGTATAATTGTTTGTATATCTATCGTAGATCAATAATAACACTTCAGTATATCGTATAGGGGGATAAAAGACTACGACAAAATGTTATGTTAATATCACTTATTAAGTAGCTCATCTTACCTACATCCCTAATACCCAGACAAATATTTTTGCACGGCTATAAATTTTAGTTAAGACACGCCTTTTTGGTTTAACTTTACATGGGGCATATACAACGGTAAAATAATTGTAGGTAAGGAACTCCAATTCTGAATTATGGACATTGCCTATCTGTGTGTATATGGAAGTTGGACCAAGCACTGCCCAGAATATCCCAATGCATTTAGTCCTTCAGGCCAACACTAATCTAGAAGCCGAAGCGCTCCAAAATTATAAATGAAGAAGACCGATTAAGAGAAACGGCCTTTGAGTTGTAGAGTTCGACTCTTGGCTCTAGGTACATGAGATATGCAAACTTTTTCACAGTGCGAGCCATGCCAGATTGAACTTATTAACATTTTACATGATAACGTTTTGGTGAGATCTAATCTAATTTCAAATAACAGACGAAATTATAAAGGATGTTTTTTTAGAGGTATACAACTTTAAATTGCTATTTCTAGTGGCAGTTAATTTGATAGTTGGTGGTACATTTGTGATGAGTATATTTTGCCATTTCATAATTAAATAGAATTACTTCGGAACAACGCTTGAAAATTGTGTAAAAATGTATTTTGAAAAACATGGTTCAGTTTTCTATACAAACCCTATTACGGTCGACGTAATTTTCGTACCTTTTTATTCCTCACGAAGGATATTGACGTGGAAGAGCTATGGTTTCAACATGGTGGTGTAACCATCCAACCAACCAACAGCACGCGACACATTAAATTTATTGCGGGAAACATTCGATGAGCGCATAATTTCACGTAATGGATCTTTGAATTTGCCTCCACAATCGGGTGATCTCACACATATGGATTATTTTCTCTGGGGACACGTGAAGTCCACTACTGCGCAGATAAACTACGGAATTCAATGCCAACATTCGTCGCGTTATTACCGATGTATGGAAAGTTTCAATTAAATTGTTTAAATTTTAGAGGTAGAAAATATTGTTCAAGCAAGCGACGGTATGTCTATGGATAATCACAAAAAGTTACGTATTTTTTTCGCGGAGCGACGATCGACCTATCTCACCTCCCCAATGGCCGAAGCGCGACTGACGTTAACCGAATAGAACGCTGTGATTGGTTGCTGGTGTTTGGTTTAACGGCAATCTTGTATTATTACTCAAATTTTTAGGTACCTAAAATCGTGTGACCAACGTATTTCGCTTTCTCAATTCAAAATAATTATAAGAAGATATTTTTTTGACTATTGTGTGGAAAGTATATTTAATTACGATGATTTTAGTATATGATACACACAAATTGAATGAAAATTGTGAATGCAGTAACCAAATGTTTCATTGCAACCGAAGGTGTGACACGATGAGAACGCAAAAAATGACCCCGTTTTTTATCGTTTCATGTGATTTTTTCGTATTATTTTTGCTTCTATTACAATAAAATTTATTTTGTATGTAGCTAAATAGATATTTTATCATCTGATTTCAAAGTTATTGTTCTAACTTATACAGTTTATGAACTATTATTGTGTGACCATCAAATTTGAGTGTAAATGAGAAGTACCCATGTATGGTCCCAGTTGCTCGAAAAAGAAATTCAAAATTGGACATCTCGATTACGCTACATTTGAGCCAACCGTGGCGCCCTTAGGCTCGAAATCATTTTGAAGCATAAATGGCATAAGAACATCTTTTAAACAAAAGCAATACCATGTGAATCAAACATATTTTTACATTATTTCATTTTAAAGTGGTATACCTCTAAAAAAACATCGTATATGAGCAATTAGCTGACTCAGCAAAGTTAAACGTTGTTTTGCATATACATGTCTGAAAAATTCTCAGATCTACCAGTCGAAACATAGTGAGACTAGCACAGCAACGTATAAATATTATTATCTGTAAACACCTATGTTTCACAATAAATAATTTTGAATTTGAATTTACTGAATATAGTTACACACAAAACATAAGAATCGGTCAAGTCGTTTCGGAGGAGTTTTGTTACAAACTAGTAAATGTTAATTTGAACTGGGTACTTGTTTGTGAGAACTATGGAGAAAACTTTCAATCTTTCATTTTATTTTTTACATAAAATATTCGTGACTGTATCTAGGAATAGTGTTTTTTAACTTGATTAAAGTCGTGTCTTTCGGCTTTGATTTTAGTAGCCGAATATGGTGGATAGATAAAAACAGAGTAATTTCTGAATAAAGCCCAAAGCATTGAATATCCCAATAATAATTAAATTAAAATCATACTAAAATAGTTTCTTTTTACCCTAAATCTTGATTTTGTACCTACTTAAAATTTGATGATAAGTTAGTAGCCGAAATTAATAGAGAAATTAAAAAACTTGTTTCGGGGATGCTTCGTTTTCTTATAAAATATCCCTTGTCCCCATACCTACATATGGCGGTTCAACATTATTTTATAATAAGATGCCATAGAAAGATTCTATTACAATTAAGAGATGAAGCGTAATAAATCCGGTTCCATCACGATAGTAATCAGCATAAAAAGCTTTCCCCAAATGCGACTAATCGAATCACCGGACCTCCCCTGAAACATTTCAACTATACGTCAAGTGCTGTTTACATCGGCGGAGGCTTAATAGAGTTATTAAATTTAGCGTTAATTTATTCAATTTGCTCCGAGTTTGTAGACAATGGCAGCCGGGGGCGGAGCCCGGGAATCCCCGCCCACCGCACACCTGGATTCCGATTAGTACGTACTCGTATACGTACATTATTACAGTCGAATTCCATTTATGCATTTGGTAAAGGCAAATGAAACGTTGGAGCGGACGCGAAATTAAAAAAAAAGTAACATGGCGGACATGCTTTACCTAGTGNTGTGGAAAATCCCTCCCAGAACATTTCCACATTTAGTTGGAAATTTCTTTAGGAGGATTATTTTATTAATAAAAAATGTTAAATGAAGCTCAATTTTATTTAGCTCCTAGGTATTTCTTGATAGGTCATAAGATGAAAAAGTTATTATTTTTACACTAGGGCGAGTGAGCATCTTGATCTACTTGCTTTGTTTTCTCTATTAGATTCTTTGCAATCCTATACAGAGTACACCGGGTATTAAAAAGAAAATAAGCACTTCATTTACGCCAACATTTGAACTGCTAACGTTAATGATTTTTTTTAATTACCTTGATGTATCACGATCAAAACACCACACGGGCATATACATAGAATTCAATTCTGAGAAACCGTTGAAATGTCAATAAAATTGATACACTTACGAGTATATCATGGCTTCCCGCTACCTTTTCAAGAGGGTTGTATTCACGTACTTTTTTCTTTATTGTGCGAGATCGCCGTTAAGAGATCCTCCCAGAGGCGCAATCGGCGGGTAAACACCGCGAACTACCAAGGAAACCAATTGAGAAAATGCAGGAGGCTTTATTATTTTCTTTTCTGTGTTTATTTAGGTCCTTTAAAATATAAACTCTCTATGCGGTAACTGTTGGGAGAAAATAGCCTGGGATTAGGCTTAGTAGCGCCCATTGGAAGATTTCCACGGCTAGTACTGAGGCTGATAATTATGAGGGTATCATTTGAATCAAATCAAATCAAATAGTTTATTCAGTACTTAGGCCCTTTTCAGGGCGCTTATACAGGTTATACACGTCCCAATGAACTTTCTGTAGAAAAGGTATAATTATATTTAGATGTGAGATTGCGGTCCCTTTGCTACATTACCAAGTTACGTACGGAATACTTGCTGTATCGAATCTAAATACGATTTTGTGAATAGTATCTCCTTTCGAAAATTATACGTTTTCTTATATTCTTCTTTTGTTAAAATTGGTCATCGAAATCTACAAAAACGTTTCTTTGTCTCTACATTTGTAGCATCATTATTTTTTAGTACAACTTTGTCACTCACCCACTACTCACCTAAGTCCGATCACGCCTGAAAATTCAAGACTATTTTTACTGTAGATTTTTGGTGCTGCTGAAAATTTCTTGTGTGCTTGTAAAACATGTCAGCGCACCGATGACAAACCGCTCGCACCACACCCATGGAAACCTGCGTTTTAGTGCTCTGTAAAAGTAAAAAGGACAAAAAATCCTTTGTCAACAAAATACATGAAAGGTTATTCAATGGTTAAAGGAGTATGTAAGCTGTCCAGTGTACACTGTCCAGGGTGCAGTTTTTAGACGGTTTATCAAAATACGAGATTTTTTCATTCACTTGTGTATTAAGCAATATTGCATGCACAAAATCACATAAAATAATATCTTTCAGTATCTTGGAATCGTGTATCAAGTAGCAATTTTATTACGTTGCGAGACAGCGTGTAAGCAGGCCCCCGAGGAGCGATTTGTTGGCAAACACCCGACGGCTCCGCGCTGCAACCGCGAGGTTTATTTCACTTGTATTGTTATTCGATATCCTTCGATTTTATTTGAATTCAAGGGTTGGTTTTTCTTCTGACAGACTTACCCGTATAATATCTACGAATTTATTTTCGTACTAGTACTCATTTGCATGGACCAATGGACCACTACATAGT